GAATTATTTGAAATGGAATAATATTACATTCACATTGTTTAAATTCTCAAACTGAAATATAAATATTTGTGGGTTACCACTACATAACGCAATTCTTCTAGTAATATATATTTTGCCTATCATTGTGCACATTTCATTGGGCATTATACTTAATTTCTCTCCTTTCTCCCTTCTAATATTCAATATTAATTCTTATTCCTAATATTTTGTCTCTATTGCGTGCCGGCCCTTAGGCCTTGATTTGTTTTAGGGATTTTTAAATGAACCTAACAAATAAAAACATGGTACATATGTATAAATCTTAAGTTCCAATACGTGCGGGTCATATCACATTTGTTTTGTGTAGCGTGGAATAAACATGTTTTGTTTCGATATCAGTCTGTCTCTAAGGCTGAAATCACATGGTGCAGAATAGAGCTGCGGAATAGAACGTGCGTCATAGAAGCAACCAATCAGAGCCAGACATTTCCGTCACTCGTTGATACGGCAAAGCTCTGATTGTCTGTTTCTATAACGCACTCTCTATTCCGTACTCCTATTCCGCATCATGTGATTTCAGCCTAAGTCTTCATGTTGTACACAGAGTTTCTCTGCGATTTCTAAATTGTAAGTTATTTCCTAAATAATTTTTATTATGAAATAATAATTTTGCAATCCTTACAGTTTAAAATGACACCAAACAATAAAAAGGTCAAGAGAAAATACGTGGAGTTGAGTGTGGCGCAGAAATTAAAGCTAATCGAGAAGTTGGAACAAGGCGTGAGATCAGTGACGGATGTTTGTAACATGTACGGCATGCACCCAAATACTGTCTCGAATATCAGGAAATCAAAGCCCAAATTACAAAAGTTTTGTTTTAACACACAATATTAATAGCTCTAAATTACATGCTTCTACAATAGGGAATAAAATACGCATGAATTTTGGGCCAAATGAAAATTTAGATAAAGCTCTGTATGGGTGGTATAGTCAACAAAGATCCAGTGGTATTAATGTACAACAGCTCCAGTTGAGATCGGAGTTTAATGTTCTTGTAACACGTATGAGACTCAATATCAAGAAAACTAATCAGTGGGTGCAGCGTTTTAAAAAGAGACATGGCATTATTATTTCTTCGTGCAAGGAACCCTGTAGTGAACCTTCATGGCTCCTGCCCACTGGACGCGGTAACGTTGCCGCGTCCAGTGGGCAGGAGCCATCAGAGTCAGAAAAGAAAAACGGTACCGAAGACCAAGTTATTCCAGAAGAACCTATAAAAGTTGAGAATCTGCCTTCTTCGCCATCTTCACCTCCAACTACTTCAACACCTACCAAAAATTTCGGAGAATCTGTAAAAGTTGAAAATTTCTCTTCAGAATCATGTTCGTCTCCAGCTGATATTTATCACAATTACGTTTGGTCAGAATATGATATTAAATCTGAAGGTTCCCCTTCACCTTCAGATGATAAATCCTCAGATGACAAATAAAGACTTGCTATCACTAAAGTTACAGCAAAACTGTCCCTCTTCGACTACTTTCTTAATCAACAAAGAGTACTTACAATGATATAATTTCACAATTTTGTATTATATAGTTCTGTATACCATATTCAAGCAATTATATTAAACCCATTAAGAAAAGATAAAAATTGCATTTTGTAACATTATATACAAGAAATACATTAAGATGTTATAAGTTTCACAGCCTTTACTTGTGTCTTGTTTAATTACTATGGATTGGATTATTTGAAATGGAATAATATTACATTCACATTGTTTAAATTCTCAAACTGAAATATAAATATTGGTGGGTTACCACTACATAACGCAATTCTTCTAGTAATATATATTTTGTCTATCATTGTGCACATTTCATTGTGCATTATACTTAATTTCTCTCCTTTCTCCCTTCTAATATTCAATATTAATTCTTATTCCCAATATTTTGCCTCTGTTGCGTGCCGGTCCTTAAGTCGTAATTTGTTTTAGGGATTTTCGCACAAACTGGACCAATACAAACAGGGTACATGTGTATGCACCTTAAGTGTCGATACGTGTGCGGATCATATCACATTTGTTTTGGGTAGCGTGGAATAAACATACTTTGTTTTGATTTCAGTCTACCTCAAAGTCTTCATGTTTACACAGAATTTTTCTGCGATTTCTAAATTGTAAGTTATTTCCTAAATAATTTTTATTATGAAATAATAATTTTGCAATCCTTACAGTTTAAAATGGCACCAAACAATAAGAAGGTGGAGAGAAAACGCGTGTTCTTGAGTGTGGCGCAGAAATTACAACTAATCGAGAAGTTGGAACAAGGCACCTCAGTGACGGATGTTTGTAACATGTATGGCATGCACCCAGAGACTGTCTCAAATATCAGGAAATCAAAGCCCAAATTACAAAAGTTTTTTTTAACACACAATAGTCATAGCTCTAAATTACATGCTTCTACAGTAGGGAATAAAAGACGCATGGAATTTAGGCCATATGCAAATTTAGATACAGCTCTGTATAAGTGGTATAGTCAACAAAGATCCAGTGGTATTAATGTACAACAGCTCCAGTTGAGATCGGAGTTTAATGCTCTTCTAACACGTATGGGACTCAGTATCAAGGATACTACTCAGTGGCTGTATCGTTTTAAAAAGAGACATGGCATTATGGATTCTTTGCGCGAGACACCCTGTAGTGAACCTTCAGATGCAGAAAAGAAAAACAGTACCGAAGACAAAGTTATTCCAGAAGAATCTATAAAAGTTGGGAATTTGTCTTCACCGTCATTTTTACCTGCCACTGCTTGTACACGTCACGACATTTCCAAATTAAATGCTTCTGCAATATGGAATGAAAAACGCCTTAAACTTGGGCCAAATATACATTTAGATAAAGCTCTATATATGTGGTATATTCAACAGAGAACCAGCGGTACTAATGTACAAAGGCGCCAGATGAAATCTGAGTTAAATGCTCTTTTAACACGTATGAGACTCAATATCAAGGATACTAATCAGTGGCTGTATCGTTTTAAAAAGAGACATGGCATTATGTTTTCTTTGAGCGAGGAACCCTGTAGTGAATCTTCAGAGTCTGAAAAGAAAAACAGTAACGAAGACCAACTTAATCTAGAAGCATCTATAAAAGTTGAGAA